TAGAAATGTTGTATTTAGCCTCGGCCATTTTCCGACACTATAAGGCAAAAAACCGCCGCTACTAGCCAATTAGCCTCGGCGTAGCGTCGGTGTCGGGGATAGGCTAAAACGATCGAAGCTAACATTTAGCCTCGGCCAAGAAGATTCGTGTCTACAGTAGCCTCGGTCCAGCCGTGTCTAATTTAGCCTCGGTTTAGCCGTGTCTACTTTAGCCTCGGTGAAGCCATGTCAAAAAAAAAATAGTCTGGACCTGCCCGAGGCTAAAGTCAAACTCCATTAGCTCACATAATATTTAGCCTTGGTCCTGGTCGAGGCTAAAGGAACATTTTGCCTCGACTTTTTCGAGGCTAAGTTCAAACTTTAAGTCAAAAAAATATTTAACTTTGGCCTAATCGAGGCTAAAGTCAAATTGTAAAAGTCAACAAAACTATGCCTGCTTTCCAATTGTATAATCTATATATGCTGACCATGTTTTCCAATAATGACAATTATGTCATGCCCTGTTCTCCTTCAATCAATTTATCAAAACATATAACACATATGAAGTAAGAGTTATCAAAATATTACATAGATTGAAACAACAGGAAATTGTGTTTAGATTTGGAGTGGCCACTGATGGTAATTGTGTTTTCTGTCACCAACAGGAAACTCTATCAAAGTTCAAGCAAACATACATGACGACTCTCTCTGCAATAATTTCACACAAGAAAAACACATACAGAAAATCCTACCAAATACTACAACCTAGTCTCACCTTGACTGTCTAAGAGACTTGTCCTCATGGATTAGCAACTTTGAGGCACATAACAGATCTAATCATGTGTAGAAAGCTAACGATAACAGTCAATCCACAAATCTCATGATAGTAACAGTTTAGTCATTACAATGCCAACATCAAGAGCAAGCTCCCGCTCTAACTGCGTTCTTGTTGACTTTCAAACATCCTAAAGAATAAAACAAAATATCTTAAAGCAATAAGAACACTGTCAAAGAACAATGATAAATTAATTAATCAGTGAGCAAACACAATTTTTAATGATATATTACGTTAAATTCCATATATGTAGCACGCTTTGCTAGCCACTGAGCATCCATCATTTGAAAGGCGATGCAGAAAAGGATATCAAATGCCATTTCATCCTCTTCAAGCAGCCGTAGAAAATAGATTCCTAGCAAAGAAGATGGATGAACTGCAAGAAGAATAGAATAGTTCATCATCAGATGATTACAAATGAAACATGAGGTGAGTATTGAAAATATATCAACACTTGCTGCAAATCAGGAAACCCCTGTGAATAATGATAATAGTTCCCAAGCAAAACATACTTCTGGACTCTAGCGTAGTTTGCAACGGAAATCCAAACATAATCTATGAGTGTGGCATGATATGAAAATATTTCATGGTATCTGTTTAAGTATATTACGCGTCTCAAAACCACCTTGTCACCATTATATAATAATTACAACCACTGACTCCTCAAGAGAATTCAAGTTACCTGATTGAAGATCCAGCATCTGCACCAACATAAATGAAATATTGATTCCAGCTACTGCAAATGGATATTCCCACTCTACTCTGACTCCGTCTTGTTTAAGCAATAATCGCTGGAATGAAGCCTATGACATTGCTAGGTAAAAATGTGCTAGACTAATTAAAATCACCCATTTAATAGTTTAACAGATTATGTAGAATATAAATGTAAATGCAATTATGGTAGAAGAAACTTACTGGATACTTCTGCGCAAAAAAGATGAGGTTCTCTAATGATATAAATCCTCCACCCTTGCAAACCATGGTAATAAAATTCTTATGAACTCTTTCATAATTTTGAGATATTGATATGTATTTGCAATGAAAGGGTGAGGATTTGATATGTATTAAATTCTAGTACTGTCATTGTATCCTATAATCACGTCAAGGGATAACCAATTTAATTGATATAAATTCTATCATGTTTTCAAGGATAGCATGTTTAAACTACTCTGCAACAACCTAGATAGCAGCCTAACAACCTATTTTAAACTTAGACAGCAGCCTAACAACCTATTTTAAACAGCAGCTCACCAACTAGCATGTTTAAACTACTCTGCAATAACTCTTAGCACATAACCTAAGTAGATACCACAACAAATTCTTGGACATAACAATGGTTATGTGAGAGAAGCAGCAGACTGGAACACTGAAGGTATTTGGCCCATCAATGAAACATCAAAAAAAGGGGTGGGAAAGAGACATCATGAAGATGTTGCTTACTAAAGCAATGTATCATATATGACATAATTTATTGTTGTTAATTGTAGCTGCTAATTGAACTCATCAGGAAAATGCCACTACCGCAGAGAGGCAGTCCAGCGAGGGCATCCGCCAGCCAGTGGCCGGAGTCAGCGATGGTGTGCAGCGGTGCAGATCCGCTGCAAGGCACCATTCAATAATATTGCAAAATTAAGGGGGAAAACTAACATGTTAATACTTTCTAGATAAGAATGACAGTGACAAGTTCATTCCAGGCATCAATATTATAAACTATGTAACTTCTACATTTTAATACTTTCTAGATAAGAAAGTGTCATACTAAGATAATATCATGTTATTGTCATATGATCAAGGTAATTTCATTTTGATATTAAGTTCATAATTAATTAAGACTTACGTATGTAGACTCAGCACGATGATCAACCCATGCTCCACTTTTCCTCTTATGGGTCTTTAAAAATAACTCATCAGGACGTACATCCCTTTGAAGTTCTTGGGTCTACAAATATAAATTAAAGTAAATTTGATAGTGTAAATAATTAAAGATTGAAATAAAAATCGACTTTATTACTTACAAGCTCAAGCGCTACATCAACATGAGCCTTATGATCTGAGGTGTGGACTGCTCCTCCTCTTGCTAAACTTTGATTAGCCTTGTTTTGAGAGGACAATTTCAAGAACGAATCACTCTTCCAATAAGTTTCAAGCTCATTCCAGGCATCCTCACCAATCCATGAAGGACGGGTCCCTTTTAACCTCACCTTCCTCATTATGTCATTTAGTCAAATGGCTGCCTTTGAATAAAAGGCTTTCCTGACAAACATCTCATAATCTATGGTGGTACAGCCTGCGGCACAGGCGCAGTTCGTAAAATGGGTGCAGTCCGCGGGACCGGTGCAGCCCGCACTGGCAATGGATTCGGAGCAGGTGATGAAGTCGAAGCAACCGAGGGAGTCGGAGCCAACGATGGAGTCGGAGCCGACGATGGAGTCCGAGTTGGTGGAGTCGGTGTTGTAGTAGCTTGTGATGACTGAACAAATGTAGACTTCTTTCGAAACATGCTATTCCGATTATCAATAAGCTTTCTAGGTGCTAAGCACTTAGATTTTCCTTTTTTTGGATTTTCCTTTCCTCTCTCACCTCCACTTTTGTTAGTCATTTGTTGTCATAAAATACAAAAAAAATTAGACAAAAATTAGACAAAAACAATTACAATCAAGCAACTAAACATCCAGCAACTAGGAGTTGATAAACTCATACTTCTAAGACACTAAAGTGAATTCAACCAGTGATAAAGGACCTATCATGACTGATAGCAACTAGGACCTATCATTATCATTTTGTTTAATATCCACAAAACAAAACTTCATCATGGTGCGATATGTACAGACTTTGGTATCAGTCATTATCATTTTGTTTAATATTGTAACAGACTTTGTCAAAATAAAACAAAACAAAACTCCAATGGACAACACAGACTTTTTTTAATCTCAAAATATGTGATATAATGGGCATTACTGATGTTTGGATAACACTCTATAGATGGGTTCTAGTATCATTATCCATACGGTTTTACACCAGTGCCAAATCAACAAACTGAAAGAATAAAACTTCTAAAGAAAGAAAAATCAATTGTAACGGTGCGGTATTATTCATGCTACAGGTTGCTAACATGATCATTCACATCACTTGTAGAAGGAAGAGAACAAATGACTTCCTTGTGATTTTGACACTGTATTGCAGCAAGTATCACAAACAATATTCGGAGAAAATCGACTCTCAAAGCAACATACATGATACTACCGATATTAATCGTAACAATGCAAAGCTGCAACATTTCGCCAAAACACAATTGCGATAAACAGGTCTCAGAGAAAATAGCTAAAAGTTGAACGCAATACCAAACAACACTTGAAATTATCACCGTTAAGCATCGATTCCGTAACATTCATTAACATGATGGAACAGAACTTGAAATCCAAAAGCAGGGCAGCATACAAAGTGCAGATCAATCATAACAGACAACAATAACATAAATATACGGATAATGCTAAGACTTCTGAATCTCGACCGTACGCTAATTATCTATATGCTAACAAATTCCACACAAAGCTATAAGCAGGCTGCACAAATTTCAGCATACCAAGACTTCATATAGCTTGCAAGTTATTTACGAAGAGGTGGTGATAAACTTATAACATGAATAAAAACAATGTGAACCGCACACTCACGACACACTCCAAACCAAAACATGCAGATTTCATAACTTCAATACACATAAGAATCACCAACAACTTAAATATACCATAAAGTTTAACTCTGAATCTCTTATCACGACCAAATGTAGCTAACAATCAAAGCATGTGAACAAGGAAGAAAAGTTGGAAATCTCATAACAGTCAAAACTGTGATTACAAAGATAAATTTAGAGCAGTAACACTTAGGAAAAAGAGAAATGATAATATCATATTCATCAAGATATTGGAATACAAAATACACATAATAAACCATAACATAGTTGTGCATCTTCAATCAATATCCTATCAAGTCAAACATGAGAAAGTTCAAAGCCTTCATACATGCAATCACCTGCTCCTTTCTTCTATCCTATACGTATTCATGTTCCCACCCACTTTGTTGCTACACACTATTGAAGACTAATTCACCTATATAACAACAAACCATGTCAAACATTTGCATTGATCACACATGCTTCTTCTTGAGCCAAATTTTCTGATACAAAAACATGATGACAGATTATCAGAAAATTCACCCTGCTAATGATTTGGAGTCACAAACCAAACCAACAATTCCTTTGTATCCTCGAAACATTTCAAAGTCCGATAGACGGGACCCTTTGCAATATGATTATTTCAATCCACCTATTCCGAAACGTAAGTTTCAAGTGAGGCACTCCCCTCCACCAAAGAAGAAAAGAAGTTGCTGTTGCAGGTTCCTGTGCTGCACCTTCACCATATTGCTGATTCTTATTATCGCAATATCCATCACCATTGGAACACTATACCTTGATTTTAGGCCAAAGCTTCCTAAATACTCAGTAGACAGATTGAGAATAACTCAGTTCAACCTTTCTGATAATAACAATCTTTGTTACCTTCGATGTAACAGTAATTGCTAGAAATCCAAATAAGAAGATTGGAATATACTATGTAAGTGGAAGCAATATAAGTGCTTGGTATAAAGAAACCGAACTATGTGAAGGGTCTTTTCCGAATTTCTATCAGGGTCATCGAAATATAATCGTGCTTAATCTGCCTTTAACGGGTCGAACGCAGGATGTAACAGCCCAATCTAACCTGACAGATAATTAAGGAAAACAGAATCAGAGTGCAACAAATTTTGTAAACATGACGGTCGTAAGGGGCTGTCACGACCGTGACGGTCATGACGATCGTAAGGAAGTTGTGACGACCGTCACATCAGCAAATTCTGGGCGTTACAATTTCAACTCACAGAAACATACATTTCACAATTCCATTAAACAACATGCATTTAGTAATGATACATAGCACAGAAGCTTGGATGAACATGCAACAATAACTTAATTAACATTTCGATTACAAGGCATCTTATTAATTTGCAGCGGAATATAAAACGCTTCCAACATTTAGAATGATTAAAGCAAGACCATGAAACTTGCAACAAAACTTCATTAAAATTCAGCAAGTAATTATCTTGCATCAATTCAACATAAACAACGAGTTTCAACCATAAAAATCATCACTACTAATTCCTCGGTATAGTGCATCCAACCAACATTTGGCACTTAACAGCAGCCACCAATTTAAGGAAAAATACTTGATAAAATTCAACAACAAGGAAATTAAATAAAAGCAATAACATCAATCGTTCATCCCCCCACGAGTGCTACGTATCAGAGCGACTAACAACCTTAAACGAAAAGCCACACTTTATTACGGATTACCTGTAAGTTACCACCAATGGAGGTAACATACAATGTAAAGGGTGAGATATCAACAATATAACATAAGGCATGATAAAAGTCATGTCAGAATATTATCACAGCATTATAATTCCAGCAGTTTGCATAAATATTAGTAATAATAAACTACAACCACTCTTTATTCATAACCACAATAATTATCATCATATCTCAGCAACTCATCAAAACAAGTCAACAACGCAACTCAACAATGCGATTCAACAATGCGACTCAACTGTCCATATGCATGTGGTACCAGATTTAGGAGACAACACTCCACAATAATTCGGGAGACAACACTCCACAATAATTCGGGAGACAACTCCACAATAATTTATTTTGCCATTAAGGCGCAACCGTCGCCAATCTAGGCCAAATGATATATTATGAGACGCAACTATTATGGACTATAACACAACAACAACAACAACTGTGCAACACCCGTGCAATAAGGCATCAAGCCTACAACCCATTTATCCATAACAGAAACATCACATTTCGCATACATCATGTACTCACCACTTCAACTTGTTCATGTCAGAGAACACGTAACAATATCGTTCCTACGAATAAGAATCCAACACATTTTTGCAGAAACAATTAAAACCACATCGTCTCTACAATTGAGAACTCAACAACATTTTCATATACTTTCATACGGGTAATATAACTACAACTTATCAACATAATACAAGGAGAATATTATAATAACATTTTCTCAACAATGACATAACAACTTCATATGCATCAAGTATTCATCATTTCAATCTGTTCATGTAGGGGAACAATAACAACATACTTTCGACAATTAAGAATTCAGCACATTATCATAAGAACAACATTACAACTTTTACTCACTAAATTAATTATAGTTCCTGAAAAGGTTCGTTAACTACGGGGCAACTAATCTTGCCTCATTAAGGGTAACTATACAACATCGTACAACACTGACGATATAACACATTCATTCCTACACAGAAAAACCTCGTCCCTAACATTTATTGAGTAACAGGAACTATATCTATGATTCGATTCCATACCTGAAGTCGATCAAGTAAGAGCATAATAACAACCTTTTCTCAACAAATGGGAAATTAGCGCGTGTCGGCGCCGATTCCCAACATTACTACATAAACTAATGACATAAACACTAATGCGGGCGTAGACAAACATTAACCCTTAATATTTCTCAACCTACGGGAACATTTACCCTTAATGTTGCTCAACCTACGGGAACATTACTATGGGAATATTAATCCTTAATATTTCTTCAACTTACGGGAACATTTACCCTTAATGTTGCTCAACCTACGGGAACATTACTACGGTAATGTTACTACGGGAACATTTCCACGGGAATATTACTACGGGAACATTTCCACGGGAATATTACTACGGGAACATTTCCACGGGAATATTATTACGGGAACATTAATCCTTAATATTTCTTCAACTTACGGGAACATTACTACGGTAACGTTACTACGGGAACATCACTACGGGAACATCGCTACGTGAACATTAACCCTTAATATTTATCGACCTACACGAACATTAATCCTATGATTCAATTTCCTACATGAAATTGATCATACCCACAGTTATAGAATTGAACCCCACCCTTACCTTTGGATTGAGGACAACTCTAAACTTCCAGTTCCGGTTTGCTCTCCCGGTGACTCTTCTGCAACAACCTTCAATTCTCTCCGGCGGTTAATTCTTCCGTTCTTCCTTTCTCCACAGCCACGTCCTTTTTCCTCTTTTCTCAGCCTTTTTCATCCAATTTGGTTTTCCTGAGAAGTTTATCGTTCTTTTGCTCTTTCTCCCACAACTTCTCTAATAACTCCCTAATTCCCTTTATTCTCTCTACTACTACTACTACTAATAATAATAATAATATAATATTACTACTAGTTATTAAATTATCATCATTATTAATTATATTATATTATTATCAAACTCAATGATTTATTAAATGGTTTCCTATACTTCAAGGACACCCACCAACGCTCTCAGACACACTCCCACATAAAGGCTCACCAATAATTCATAAATAATTTAATTTAAAATGAACGGGCGTTACAACTCTCCCCTACTTAAAAGAATTTCGTCCTCGAAATTATCTTAACCAAACAGCTCCCAACCAGACCACTTTCACCAAAGCAATTTCTTCACCTCGAAGTTGCTTCTCGTTCATCCACCTGAACTAGCAATGCCTCAACAGTCAAATTACCTTTCACTTGTACACCATCCATCCGAATCAATGTACTTCTTCAACTTATGCACATACCACATCATGTAAATTCTCACGAGTGACAGCGGTAAAACAGTCCAACCTACTATTTTTCCCACGCTTCTGCTGCACCACTCTGGTACAGATCAACAAAACACAGTGTGCTTCTGAGACCTCAAGCTTGACCCACACCAGTTACTATCGTAACTCTCAAAACACGTCTTTCTTAGATCCTTTGGATCTTTTCAGTTGTCTCTTGCACAATCTCAGCTAGCTTCAACATGGAATGATTAATCTCACTTGTTAGGAAAAGAGCCAAATTAGTCATTCTATCCAAAATCACCCAAGTAAAATCATATCCCTCAAATTCTCCGGAAAACCCAACACAAAATCTATGGGAATACTATCCGATCTCCACTCTAGAATATTCAACGGTTACATCGGACCCAATGGTCTCTGACGTTTATTCTTAGACTTCCAACGAGTCTAATCAGCACATACAAACTCAACCACTTATCTCTTCAACTATGGCCCTCAAAATAATTTCCTCAAATCCAGTTACATCCTCGTAGCACCGGGATGGATACTCCATCTACCTCAATACTCTTATTCCATTCAATAATATCTAGAACACAAACTCTATCACGACATCTCATGATACCATTTCCATTAATCTGAAAATCATCCCTTCGACTTTAATTCCTCAGATTCAACCAATCTACCAACTCAAACCAGAGTTCTGACCTTATCGAATCTCGTCAAGAATACCACTAGTAAGGTCCAACATACTAAGCTAAACTTCATAAGAAGTCTCTTCACAAACTAAACTCATATCACAAAATTTATCAATCAGTCCTAACTCATTCCACCACCATCATCGGCATATGCAAGGATTTCCAAGTCAATGCATAAACTACCACGTTTTGATTTCCCCGAATGGTAATTTAATCCGAAACCATAATCCATTCCAGAGTCTCAATTATTTTCTCTGCCTCATATTCAACTCTTCCAAATCAAATAAATACCTTAAGCTCTTGAGGTCACCAAACATGTCAAATCTCAAACCAATTAGTTGAGGCTTCCAACTCCGGCACAACCACAACAGCAACCAACTCTAAATCACTTATCAGATGATTCCTCTTATGTACTTCAAGTTCCCTTAAAGCATAATCAAAACTCGCTGAAGTTTCACTTAGCATATCTCCCAATCATATCAACAAGGCATCACAAAACACAACAAATGGTCCCGTCGGGTTCGGCAAAAATCAGCACACGATATGTTTTCAATCTTCTGCTATAATTGAACCAAGTACAGGCCTCAAAAAAATTTTTCCTAGAAAGAGCATCTCGTTATCTTTCCAACGCTTCGAACGGGGACTAAAACCAACTTACGGGTCAAGAGATATGAATTTTCGAAGTTTCTCCAACACAGAATTTTTCTGCATAAAGGCTGCTACGGGTTTGAGCATTTTCGCCCGAAAATCCGACCGATTCAATTATTTTCTTCGAAACAACCATATACTCATTCATACCAAATATATATTAATAATTTAGAACCATCAAACGTGAAATCTACGACTTCCGATTCCAATCCGAATCTTAAATCCTCAAATCTCCAAAAATGCAAAAACTTACAAAAATCAATCATATTCGATAAAACAAGCATACTCGATCACGACCTAACATTACCCGACACAACTGCATAATCTATTCCAACTTTCGTCCGTAAAAACATCGATTCCGTAAAAAGCTGCGATCTCGGAATTCAACGTACAACAACAATTTCACACTTAGAAGGTCATTCGACATATCTTCAACTCTTGGAATATTTAAAGGTCTAATTATACCAATATCGCATTCCACATCTTCCTTTCTTTAATGATCACCAGAAGTCACTGTCCACCTTTAAGCTACTTGACCTCACAAGCTGCTGTCTTAACAT